TGATTGGAATCACAGGTGGTCTGCTATTCCTAAATAAGTGCCAGATGTGCAAATGGAGGTCAGCTGTTGCCCGAAACCAAACTAGAGGTTTAGGGGTGCCGGTGTGGTTCAGTTGGTTAAGCATCCAAATCTTGATATCAGCTCAGGTTGTGATCTCACGGTAATGAGATCAAGCCCCATGTTGGGCTCCATGTCTGAACATGGAGCCTGCTTGGGATTTTCTCCCCCACTCTGTCTCTGCCCCTCCTCTGCTCCCACTCTCTCTCTCTCTCAAATAAATAAACATTTAAAAAATTTTAAAAAATAAAGACCGAAGAGAGTCTCTTGAAACAGAAAAAGATTCTTAGGAGAACAAGGATATTTTACATGTAGAGAATACTCACGAATATTCATTCATGGACTGAGAACTGATTGGTTTACTCTTTGTTCCAAGAAGGTGATATTACGAAGTAATGTATTTTCTCTGTTTCTTTCCTCTCCAGCTGCCCCCAAGTCGTGCATTCTCAGTTGTGAGAAAAGGGATCAAGCTGTAACTGAAAGTCTCATTTCCCATTTTAAAGTTCTTTTATTGTTCACCTCACCTGGTCCACAGTTTCCATGAGTAACAGATAAGGAGTTAACTCTTGAGTTCCACTGCTTGCTACAGAGCAGCTCAAGTTGAGTTAGCTGACCTCACGACTGATGAAAAGTTCTGACCCAAGGACAGTGGGTCCATTCTAAGGACTACGGTCTCTCAACTCCAGCTCAGATTTACTTCATGGGTTTTTTCCATTTTCTTTAAAACAAAAACAGTGTAAGGGTGCCTGGGCAGCTCAGTCGGTTAAGCGTCTGACTCTTGATCTCAGCTCAGGTCATGATCTCATGGTTCATGAGATTGAGCCCCATGTTGGGCTCTGCACTGACAGCATGGAGCCTGCTTGGGATTCTCTCCCCTCTCCTCTGCGCCCCCCACACTCTGTCTCTCTCAAAATAAATGAACTTTTTTTTAATAAATACAATTTTTAAAAAATAAGTAAAAAAATAAAAACAGTATAGCACCATCACTTGCAAGAAAAAAAAAAGTTACTATGAATCTGAAAAAATGAAAGGGATCTCAGAAAAGTCTTAGAGAAGGACAAAGCTACAGATCCTGGCCCTTTGGGATATCCTTATAAAATGAGGCCCTTCACAGTTTAGAAAGGCTCTTCTCTTACCTGTCCCTGAGGTGTTCTTTTGCCACATGATGGTGAATAGCTCAGGCCGCAGTGTTTCCTCTGTTCCTTCTTCCCACTCTTACATGGTTCACCTGCCATGTAAGAGGTGTGCTTGTAGGCATCACTCTGCCTTTACTCTTCACTGCTCAGTTTTTTTTTTTATTGTGGCAAAATATTCATAACATGGAATTCACCACTTTAATCATTTTTAAGGGTATAGTTCAGTGGCATTAAGTGCATCCACACTGTTGTGCCGGGTTCTCTCCTATGGTATTTAGAGCATTTTAATACTGAAAAAAAATGAGGAAGAACTCTAAGTTCTGGCACTGACTGGCCTTTGGCCAATCACTTAATCCTCCTGCTTCCTTACCGGTAAAGTAGTAATAGTACCTATGTTGTGGGGTTCTTGTAAGTGAGCTCTTGGTGTCGACTTCTGGCAGGTAGTATATGTTACATATTAATGGTTAGTCATGATCTTCAAGCCAAACATGTAAAATTAGAATAGTTTCTGAATCCTAGATGATAATCACACTAATTCATGATATGCTGTCCTTTTCAAATAAGTAAAAGTATTGACAAACATATTAAAAGATAATTCGGTAAGAATTATCAGAGCAATTGTACTTGACTGATTTCCCCTATTGAAGTTGGCAAATTGCCATTTTTATGCATTCTGTTCCCAGGAAATATCCTAATTCTGCATATTTTATTTGCCTGCACTTTGCTTCCTTCCCTTCTGTCCAGTACACTCTGTTCTTTTTTTTTAAATATTTAGTAAGTTTTCATTAAAAATTTTTTTAATGTTTATTTATTTTTGAAGGAGAGAGAGACAGAGTGTGAGTGGCAGGGGGATGGGGGGATGGAGCAGAGACAGAGGGAGACAGAATCTGAAGCAGGCTCCAGGCTCTGAACTGTCAGCACAGAGCCCAACATGGGGCTCAAACCCACAAACAGTGAGATCATGACCTGAGCCGAAGTCGGACACTCAACCGACTAAGCCACCCAGGTGCCCCAAGTTAGTTTTCATTTTAATTTCAGTATAGTTAACATACAGCATTATTTTGGGGAGCCTAGGTGGCTCAGTTGGCTAAGCATCCAGCTCTTGGTTTCGGCTCGGGTCGTGGTCTCACGGTTCGTGACTTCAAGCCCTGCGTAGGGCTCTGTGCTAAAAGTGTGGAGCCTGCTTGAGATTCTTTGTCTCTCTCTCTCTCTTCCCCTTCCCTCATCTCTCTCTAAATAAATAAATAAACTTTTTAAAAAATGTTCTATTAGTCTCAGGTGGACAATATAGTGAGTAATTGAACAATTCCATATCTTGCCCAGTGCTTCTTATGAAAAGTGCATTCCTTAATCCTCATCACCTATTTCCCTCATTCCCCCCGCCCACCCACATCCCCTCTGGTAACCATCAGTTTGTTCTCTGTAGTTAAGAGTC